GCAAGGGGATGTTGGGAAATTGTGCTGAACCAGTACCACCATTATCCAGCCGCTCCGTCACTCAGCGGACGCAGGAGCAGAACAAAAGGCCAGGAGAGAGAAACGCTTCACAGAAACAGCGGGACGAGTCCTGCAACACCCCCAGGCCCCCGGCGAGCAGACAGGGAGGGACACCACCATATCCTCACCTCACCTACGAGACCACCAACCGATCCGCTATTGCAGACTGTCCCCGAGGCTGCCCCCCCCCGCTTGTCATGGCCACTGAACTGGCAGCACTATGTAAACAAGCCATAAACAGCCTGGTGATGTCGATCTATGTGACACCACCTGTGCTTTCTGGTGCGGGGGGGGGGTAGTGACTCGCCTCACACTCTGGACCGGTGGCCCTGCCGCCAACCCCGAACTCCCATGATGCTCAGCCTCTGGCCCTCCGACACATACCACCGGTAAAAGGGAAACTCCCAGCCTGTTGGGCCCAAAGCAGCCAGACAGCCGTCAATAGCAGAGAAACCGACGACCACTCGCAGCTAAATGGAGGCAAGCCAGGTAGGCAGAGGAGGACAGCATCAGGAGGCTCGGCTGTGCGCCCCCACCCTGGCCCAGCCGTGCCTGCGTGGCAGCGCCGCCTCTGGGCTGGGCGGGGGCGGCTCGCCAGCCCGCGTCTCTCAGACAGGTCACAGCACATCTCCGCTCGTCACACCTGGGGCCTGCGCTCCCGGATACGGCGTCTAACTCCCGTCAGCAGTCACTGATGCTGCCTGCCTCCGCCAGAAAAGGCACCTTGGGGGGGGGGGGCAGCTGGCCCTCGTAGCACAGGGTGACATATACAACTTGACATAAGCCCCAAGGGGGATGGGGGGGTTGGGGGGTACATTAGGTGCAGCCCCCCAGGGATGCAAACTGGGCTCAGCATGCTACAAAAGACCCTAAATATTTGCTGACATCGATGTCTTTGCGTGGGCTGCAGTAGCCTTCCTCAGACAGAACAGGGATTCGGTTTAACAAGCGAAGGGTCTGCGCCAGAATAATCAAAACTGCCAGGAAAATGACAGAGGCGCGTTGAGCAGAATGGGGCAGCTGCAGGCAGCGCTTTCTGTGCACAGCGCAGGCAGCGCATACATCTGCATTATCGGCGTGTTCGCCTGCACGATCAAAACCGGCACTCGTGCACAGCAAGGGCCGAATCATACCGTGTCCCGCCGGAGACGCTCTCTGGGCAGCGGGGCAGAGACGCCTGGCCCGGCCCGCCAAAGGTATTGAGTTACGGAGAAATGCCCCAGGAGCAGAATTTGTTCATCTTTGCACTTATATGGAAGAAGAAGGAGCTGAAGGCTATGAAACAGGAGAGTGCGCTCTCCGGAGGTCTGGCGGTGCCGCGGACAGAGTCGCTCCTCTCCTGGCGAAACGCAAAACTTTTCCTGTCCGATTACCAGACCCACCAGAGAGCCGAGATACGCTCGGTTCGTGTCCGCTAGGAAGTTAGGACACCCCGCCAGCGGGGTCCGGAAACACGGGGCGCTGTGTCACGCAGGAAGCCCGGCGAGTCCCGGGCGGCACCGGCCGGTTACGCGGCTTCTTACGGAGCCCCGTCGCTGGGAGCGAGGTTACACGCTCCAAAAGACAACAAAAGCGGCCCGCCGTCCGGTCCGAGCCGCAGTTCTGCCGTCGGCCGCCGGGGGAGGAGGGGTGAAGGCGCCCGCAGTCCGGAGGTATGAGCCCCCCCGTCCCCCGCGTCCGGCGGCTCCGTTCGGCGTCCGCTTACCTCGCTTTACGGGAAAAGCGCTTTTCTCAGCTCAACTCCGGCGCAGGGACGCAGATCCTTCGGCTTTCGCTTCTCTTCCCGAACAGCCACGGCTCTTCCTTCCCCCGGCTCTCCCTCCCCGCACTGCGGCGGAACCATCGCATTCCTCCGGCTCCTAACAATGAGGAAGGTGGGCTTTCCCCGGCCGCTCAGGACCCGCCCCCGCCCTCCCCGGAGTCCAGGAAAGACGGAGAAAGGAGAACAGCAAAGGAGAGAAGTGGGACAGGCCTCGGAAGATAACCGTCCCCTGCCGCCAGCGCCTCGCCTCGCCTCGCCAGTCCGGTCCGGCTGCGCGTCTTCCGTGCCCGAGCAGCTCGTTCGGCGACCGTCAGGCGCGGTGCCCAAAAAAGGCGAAGAAGGGAGTCGGCATTTCACCGGAGTTTCGTGAAAAAAGAAGGGGGGGGCATGAAGGAAGAGAGAGGGCTGATCGCGGGAAGAGGGTGGGAAAACATCAGGGACGTCGCAACTTAACTGTTTAGTGACTTTTAACTAGTTCTTGTTCCCAGAAGTTACAAACAACACAGGGATGCTCCACAACCAAGGAGTTTTGGAACTATATGCACAGAGCCCTGTAATTGGCTTTAAAGAATTGTATTTTATCTTAAATTCATACAAATTAAAATGACCTAAGTTTTAAAGTATTATTTTATTGCAAATAGTCAGCTGTGAGCCAGCACCGATGTATAAATCGCATGCCACAGCACATCGCACCAATTACTGTGGTATTTATGAACTGCTTGAAAACACTTTACCCTATAATACCATAAATGGTAAATTACATAATCCAATGTCAATCTGAAAAGTTACTGAGTAGCATCTCAGCCCACATTCCTGAATGAGGGTTCCGGAAAAATCCAGGTAGGAGTAATTTTTGGGCTGCTTGGGGCTGTAACTGAGTCACAGTATTCCGGGCTGAAAACAACATAGGCCTATGCCTGCATGCTGAGCCCGTCAGTCCTGTAAGGCATGAGAAAAGTCCCAGGTGTGAAAGCAAGGAGTTCCTTTGGGACCAGGAAACAATTACTGATTTGATTTTTTTGTGCAGCTCCTCCCCCAGAGACGTCCATTGCGAGATTTTTTTCTCGGCAGGTGTGTGTGTTAGGATGCCCTGTGCAGGAAGTAACTGAATTTATGAACGATATCTGATAGCTGGGAACTGCTTCCCGTCAGCGAGGACCGAGGAGCAAGGTCATCACAGCTGCGAAAGGAACATAAAGCACAGGTATGGGGCAGCCGGGTCAAAGGGCGGCAGCCTGGAGGTGCCTCCCACAGCTAGTCACCTGCAGGCCTGTGTGACCAGGCAGGAATCGTGACCAGGCAGGAACTGCACGCAAAGTTTAGATAGGCCTCAGTGCCAGGTTTTACAACCGCAATTAAGAAACGCTTTATGGCGACCTGTTCGGTTGCCATGACAAGAAGAGACCGAGACAGCTGTGCCTGTGCCTGCCATTTTAAAGGCGTACATGTGTGACGATGTCCGTGTTTTACTCATGGACAATGCAGTGAGCCCAGGCAGAGTGGTGAGGAAACGTGGCCCAGTGCAGGCCTGGGTGCTGAGTGGTGAGGGCCTGCTCAGAAAGCAGCGGGCGGCACCTTGCAAGACCCGCCATGCAACAGGAAGTGGAGCTAAATGATTCTGTCCTGACCCAGGTGTCTGCAGGAAGCAGCTCGCTCCGGCATGCTGTAAGTACTCCCATCCCATAGGGGGGGCTCCAACAAACACGTCTCGGCAAACTCAGAGAGTAGCAAAAGGAAATGGTGCAATACCCCTGCAGGATCTTACATAAACAAACAAGCTCCCTCATTCCTGCGGACCCAGTCTTGGCCCCACCCGTCTGGCTACTGACATGAAAGGATTCTTCCTGTTCTCTCTGCATGGGTGGCTGCGAGTGAAGTGACTGAAGAAATCCTCAAACACGCCTGGGAAGAGCAGAGCAAACGAATAAAGTTTGGCCCAGCCGCCTGGCCAACAGATGCGGGTCACGCTTTTCCCTGACTTCGATGGAGAGCAGCCCTCTGGTGGCAGAAATGGTAACTTCAGCACATTAACCACCCAAAAAATTAGAACGTAAGCTGCTAAAACGTGACAAAAAACCAGCACTGGCCTGGCCAGTGAGTATATGCTGTCCATGTGTACTTCAGGATTCCCTCCTGTAGGGTCTCCGGGGTGGCGATGGGTCTCGGTAAACTTCACGCATTACTATAGATGCCACCCCTTACACCTCCAGCCCACAGTCACACACGGACAAACGGTGCCCTCTAATCCTGACCCCCAGTCAGAGACACGGTGACTGTCTCTGGGGGAATCCCAGGCCAGAGAGACCATGTGACTGTGTATACCAAGGACCACTGTAACCGTCATCGGCCCGCTCTGCGAACACAAACACCACGGCACCTGTGAGGTTAAAAGCCCCCCCCCCCCCACACACACACACACACACTGCCTGGACACATTCCAAATTCCTGGCCGTGTTTACGGCGACCAGCACCTCAGCTGCTGTGTGCCTGCCTGACAGAGGCGAGGAATGCTGTGTTTCTCTCCGGTCCTTGGAGTTACTGTGCTGTACCTGTTGTGTATCTTGGTACGTCCTGCCAGGCTGGGCCAGATAAAGTATCGCCGCTCGGCACTCCCAAGGAAACGGTCCCATGGGAACCACTCCAGGAAAAAGGTGTTCTGCGGGAAGGCGTTCTTTGGAATGCAGCCCCCCCCCGCCCATGCTATCCCATAAGCCTCTTGGGCTCCCGCCAAGGCTGGTACACACCTGAGAATGATATGAGTGTTTGATCCAACTTCTTTGTGGGATGATTTCCTTCAGCACATCCTGCAGAAGGGTGCGAGAGCTGGCCTCCATTGGGATTTCAGGTTACGAGCTCCGGGATGAAGTGCTGACGTAGATCCTGTCGCGCATGAAAAGCTTTTCTGTGGAGAATGGGCAGGTGTTTCAGTGACGCCTGCTCCAGGGAAACTCCAAACACTAGATCAGGAAACTGAAGCCACCTTGTCTGTAATTGCTGACATTTTCACCTCTTTCACCATAAGATAAACTCAGCATCAGAATTTTATTTGTATTCTTTCGCTATCAATCACCCCTGTGTCACACGCACTGTCACAACTGCCTTCAGGAGAGCCCAAACGTGATAAACCGGACAGGAACCGGTCAGAAAACAGAACCTCCCACAAGTCAGCTGAGACCTTAGATGAGAGACCAAACCAAGGCTATTAATGGGCTGTGCAAGGACAGCCTGGCTAAGCACGAGACCACAAGCACACTGTGACTTTTAATTGGTCTGTATCTGTGTCGGTGTGTGTGTATGAATGGGTGTGTGTGTGTATGAATGGGTGTGTGTGTGAATGGGTGTTTATCTAGGATAAGTTCTTGCATGCCAGTTAGCCTACTTGTCTGTTTTCTTGTGATCTTGCATGTTTGTTAGTTGAGCCAAACTGACATTACACTTATCCCAGAATAACTAGATTTTCACTGTTTTTACACGCTAGTTGCCAAAATGCAGCTTTAGTCAGCATGTTTTCTCACCTTCCAGTAATCTCCCGCTGTTTAGAAACCAGTCGCAGCAACTTCACACTAAAGGAAACCATTTTATTGCCCTCTGCCAATATCTTGATTTTGTCAACTGAAAAGTAAGTGTTTTGCCAACAAGTCTGTGTTTGTATCTGCTGAACAATCTCCATGATCTCCGGCTGTAAAGCACAATAATGGCGGGATTTTCGGTGCAAAAATTAACTATGACGCTCTGGCACCACCCAGTGGCTAAAAGAAGAACAGAACTTTAAAAAAAAAAAAAAACCGGTATGACTTTGCCAGATGGGCACCAAGTTATACCGCACATGTGAGGCAGCCAGGACCATAAAGTATATAGGGGTTTGGTTTTTGTATTCTGAATGATTCTTTTTTGATAATTGGGCCATTATTGTTTTAACACTGCAAATAGTATTTGATTAAATATCTATCGATCTATTGTATTATTTGATAATAAAGCAACTACTGCCAGTTCCATACACTCACCACCAGAGGGTTGCTGCTTTGTAGCCTCAGTCAGAAAACAATGATAATAATATTTTTTTCTGCTGTTTGGTATTTCTCGTCTTCGTGTACTTAGATTATGTATCTTATGTCTCACCTGACTAATCTGAATCCAGACTTTTGCCGGAACAAGATGGTGAATAGAGTGAGACAACAGCCTGTGGACCATGGACAGGCACAGTCAGTCACATGGCGTCCAGGTCTGGAGCAGAGCGTCCTTACAGAGTGGGAAGCGACTGCACTCAGGTCTAGAAACCAACAGAAACATACATCAATGTCCGAAACTGGGCGGTCATGATGAATACCCCCCCACACCTGTGTTTATCATAATAATCATTAATTTCCTGTGCCCTGTTCATTTTCTCTGAAGCTGGCAGCAGGATAAGGAAATGGCCGGGGGTGTGGGGGGGGGGGTCCGTCCAGTAGGGCCAGACCGTGACCCACCCTCAGTCTGCCCCCTCGCCAGACCATGAAGGTGGTACGTCTCCCAGACGGTCACAGCAGACATTTCTGCTCAGCGTCTGCTCCACGCACTGCATCCCCCCCCACCCCAGCCCACCACGTCCCCGCCCAGGAGCATCAGTGGGGTCTGGCCACTAACGTGCGCCTTCATGCCAAATGACTTTTACCTATTAGTACAGATTCCAGCAGCGCCAAGCAACTTACTCGGAAGACAAGGGGGGAGGGGTTGCTGGATCACACATCCTGCCGGTCACAAGAGCTCCAGGCACAGATTACATATGCATGTCCAGGAGTTCTCACATCCTACTGGGATTCACCCATTTCAGGCTTTAATGACAGTAAATCAATCGATTTGTTGCAAAGATGAAAAATAACCCACATCAGTGCCTTTGTGAGCGTGAGAGTGTGGGGGAAATGAAGCTTAAAGTACTAATGTGATAAAGTCGACATCCTCCCCACAGCCACACTTTACAGGGCTTTCATTAATCTACAGCAGGGGTGCCCAATCTTATCCGCAAAGGGCCGGTGTGTATGCAGGTGTATGCAGAGCCGCGTCCCGGCAGCTAGCAGGCAAGGAAAACTTCACTTTGCCAGTGTTCTGTTGTGTCAACATCATGGATCACCTGGGTAAGGCAGAGCGCCTCACGCTGCAGCTGGGATGCTGGACCTCACCCCCCATGGGCCAGCGGGTCACGCTTGTTAACGTGTTGTTAACGTGCACTCTATGCGTATTCTACACGTTAAAATTCATGTGTTTCTGACCATGTTTGACGATCCATGGCATGGGCTCCTGTCTGGGACGCCTGTGCGGGTACCTGCGTTTCTATCTATGACATGAACAGTCCAAATGAACAGCGACGTATCTCCTTGAACCATCATTAAGACCGTTTGGCGTCCAGATCTTGATCATCGGTGAACTCAGACTAGAAGACACGTGAACAACGGAGGACCGACCACTCTGGCGCGCGTGTCCGCGGCGGTCGCGATTCGGGTGTGCATGTACATTAACGCGCCGCCGGGCACGAAGCGCCTGCGCTGGGGCAGCTGACCACGAGGATTCATATTAACAAAAGTTATTAATTTATTCTAATAACACGGTTACGTGCCAGTCGGTGTACTGGTTTTAATATGGCATGCAAGTAAAAACGAAATACGAGTATCCTACAGCAACTTTACAGGCATATACTTTTATCAGGTAAATTTATTCAAGGAACGCATTTTTTCCGCTGGAAGGACATTAAAATAAAACTGGCTACTACGGATAATTTATATTTTGCGCTCTGAAAATTACAAAGCAGCAGTACATATCCGTTTTGCGTGCATTAAAGTGGAGGAAAAGCGCCGCTCCGCTCTGGTCTCGCTGCCCTTGTAGCGGAGGCTCCCCGGCGCCCGTCGCGTCGGCTTGCGGTCCCGGCGAGCCCCGACCATCCTCACAAGCCCGCCGACGGCGCCTTTCTGGCATTTTTGTGGAAGCGGCGGCGGCCTCATTAACTCGCTTCTCTCGTCCATCCGCTTTTTGTTCCCCTCCTTATGGTCTCCGCTACCCGCAGCTGAATTAAATACTTACCGTTGCACCCAAACCGAAAATTATAATCCAATAACGCACACTGCACTAGTTGTTATTGCTGATGCACACTGGATATTGTTATAGGACTATACATAGAGACTACACTGCCTGGCCCAAAAAAAGTCTTTAAAGTCCTAAATACTTAAGAGCCAATGACTGGATCATTATTACAGCCCAGCAACGTTATGCAGCAGTAAAGTAAAGTCAGCTGAGTACCTGAATCTACTGAATGGCCAGGTTACACCTCCATCCATCATCAATGCATGTTTTTCTTCCCTGTTGGCATGGGCATATTCCAGGACAAGAATGCCAAGATTCATTGGGTTCGAATTGTCCAAGAGTGGTTCAGTGAGCATGAGGAATCATTTTCACGCGTGACAGAGTTGTGACCTTAACGTCATTGAAGGTATTTGGGATGTGCTGAAGGAGGCTTTATGGATCGAGTGGTTCAACTCACTTGTCAATACGGGATCTTGGTGAGAAATGAATGCAAATCTGGATGAAAATAACGGGTGAGAACGATGCCATGACAAATGTGCGCCATAATCAGAGTTAAAGGGGGTCCAACGAAAAATTCAAACGGTGACTTTTTTGGCTGGTAGTGTATTTCAATGGAAAGAAACTATGCTAGACTAAATTACGAGTGGTCGATTTAGCGGGATGTACTTGGGGAATGGGGGTGTGAGGTACTGCTGCTGTCCAGGGGCGCTGCTAAGGATTTTGGGCCCCATGAAATCATATATTGGGCCCCCCAGTCCAGACCAATCCAGTTATTTTCCATTTTTTTTACAGCTATTGGAATAGTCCTAATTAAGCCCCCACCCCCCCTTATGGCGCCCCTGCTGCTGTCACACAACAGAAATACGTTTATCGCCACGCCACTCAAACTGGCTCTGCCTTTACCTTGTTCATTCAAGTAAGACGTTAATGCCGGGTCTCCGATGGGATTCAGTCCTCTCTCTGGTCTGGTCGGTCACTGGGTGGCGCTCAGGGAAACTCTTGCACTGCGCCGTGGGCCGGCCACTGGTGACCAGTGTGGCGCAGGAGTGATTCCCAGTTCACTGCTCACGTGAGAATGCCTGATGAACCACGATCCACGTCCCGCATGTAGCTCATCCTCAGACCCTGGGGTATGGAAGGAGTGCAGACTGCAGTAAATGCTTTTGTCTCCCTTCATTCTCTTGCTCTCAGTGTTAAGACAAGGATTTTAATTCAGCAGCGGAATGAAGGTGTGGCAGATGTTCGTTATTCTGCGCAGTGGACGGGGCAGCCTCTGTCACTGCTCCTGTGCAGCTGTTTGTGCGTCGAGATGAATGCCGCGTTTGTGCTTTGTGACAGTGTGACCGTGACGCTATTCGGCACTGGTGACACGGGGACCATGCACCTCACACGTCCGGAATGTGGCACTGGCATCAAGATGCTCCCTGATAGTTCTCAAGTGACTGCTCTGTTTGATAATGTGACTGATGTTTGATCATGTGACTGCTGACGTGCTTATTTGGACAAACTTTTGACAGCACCTGAGACGGAAGAGAATAAAAGTGAAAAAGACTG